TTCATTGTTGTGTGATTATTTTCCTTTTTGACTTCTTCATTGCAGAAATGATTCCTTTGATAGAGTCTATTATTTTTCCAAATGGGGTTTTATTTCTGTTAAAATGGTGATAAAGTCATGCTATGGCTCTGTCCACATAACTTCCTACCTCTGATTCCTTCTGATTTTATTCTAGGGTGACGTGTTCAGTGAGTCTCCCACCGTAGGCTCTCAGGAGTTGTGAGAAGTCGCTCACCCTGCTTATTGAATGGCCCTTGACTTTCCCTTTCTCCTTGACAATGCATGCCGTCATCAGTTTCCTTTGTCAGGACTGAGTAACAGGCTTGACTCTCAGGAGGAGACTTAGGCTGGCTCCTCAGCCTTCACAGTTTCTGGTGACAGTCTTGTTTTGAAGCTTTATTCAGGAGTTTGGGAATTAGACTGTGTGAGTCCAGGGTTTTGTGGGATTACAAGCTTTTGTTGAATTGACACGAAGAGTGTGACCCGGCTGCTGTATTTCAATGTCTTTCTCTTTCCATCTGTGTACAACTTTTACGGATGCCTCTTCCAAAGTTTTAAAGCTTTTTTCACAGATATTTGTTCCTTGTTACACTTTCTTCCGTGTGGTGTCTTTTCTTTGTTTACTGGTGTGTGTGTGTGTGTGTGTGTGTGTGTTTTAAACCTGTGCAGTCAAATTGAGCAAGAGGGTATTTTTACTTTCCCTGTTGTCTTTCAGATGGTGGTTATATGACCAAACTCTGAATAAGAGGTATTTGATGATCTAGCCGGGTGTTTTGAAGATTAGGAAATATTGTGTGACGCACTAAGATATTCAGCTTAGACGTCCACCGGGTGATGAATGAATGATGACCATGCCATACACACACAAAGGAAAATGAGATGAGCAGAATATAGAAAAGGAAGGAACCAGAAGGCATTATAGCGAGTGAGGTAACCCAAGCCTAGAAAGACAAATGCTGCATATTCTGCCTCATATGTGGGTCCCTGGCTTTGAAGGATTTGTGGCTTTAACTTGGAAGTAACTTTCAAGCCCAGGAAGCTAGAAAGAGACAGTGAGAGGGAGAAGGGAGGAGGCCTCAAGGGAAGGTGGTGAAGGTAGTGGTGATGGGTAGGAACACTGGGAGCTAAAGACTTAAGCAGGAATGGTGTCAGGGGTAAGGGTGGGGTAGAGGGTGGGGAAGGTTGTGTGGAAAGCCCCTGTGAAAGGCCATTGCTCTAAGGTAATGAAAAAGAACATATTTTTTTCACGTACAGATGATGGTCAGCTAGAGTTTGGTTAGGTACCTTTTCTAATGTCAAGGAATTGACATTCCTTGTCAAGGAGTGACAAGGAATTGAGCCCCGATAGATGGCTTCCAAGTCTACATTCATGGGCAATTCAAACTCCAGTCAACACATTACCATTGCTAAGGGCCTGCATTACCATTTACAGCCAGACATGGATTTTGTCCTCACAGACAGTATTAGTAAGCTCCCCAGACCCCGTTCCTCTCCTTCAGTATAAAAACCATGCCTCTATTGCCGTGAGGTTTGTATTCAAGTTTTTCAGCTCCGGCTGGATTTTACAGACTTCAATCGCGGAGTCGGAAGCGCTTGCGCCCTCTGGTGATGGAAGCAAAAACTAGGGATTGGCCTTCTACCCTTGTGATTCTACCCTTTTGATACCTCAGTGCCTAGGGAACGTCAGAGCTTTCAAAGGCTGGCACAAGCTGAAGCCACTGGCAGATGGCATTGGATTTCTGTCTATATTCTTTTTAGTCTTACCCAAGTTGGCATGTGTCCATTTTCCCAAACAGTGGAAACTGAAAAAAAAAAAAAAAAAAAAAAATGAAACCGCTTTAATTGTGGTCTACCGCCAGAAGGACTATTGGACAAGTCTCTCTTCTGTGAACTCAGCTTCTCACTGGTTTCCAGCCAGATGGTGTGAGTGTGTGTGTGTGTGTGTGTGTGTGTGTGTGTGTGTGTGTGTGTTTATACATGCAGACATGTGCTGATGCATGCATCAGAGGCCCTCTCCTTCTACCATGTGGGTTCTGGGGATCAAGTTTAGGTAGTCAGGTTTGGTAGCACGTGCCTTTACCCACTGAGCCATACTGCCAGTTTCCCTCCCAATTCCTTTTAGTTGCACAGTCCAGGGCTATCTTAAGTGTGGACACAGCTATACAATGAGTCTCTAGAAACTTCTCCAAAAAAAGTTTATTCTATTATTATTAAATTCTGACTGCATGCTGTGCTGCTCTTGGCCGAAGGATAGAAGCAGCTGATAGCAAAGAGCTTTGAGAAGCCTTGGATTCCACCAGAATGCCCACCATGGACTGGAAGCTGGTGTGCAAAGGCTGAGGGAGTGAAGAGGACAGTGGCAGCCTCATGGTGGCAGGAAGAAGTCATAATTCGTAAGGCATGCTTCATACGCCAGAGAGGCCAGGAACTGGCAAAGAGTCTTGGCCATTAGTATTTCAGAACAGCAGGATTTGTGGGTAGATGCAACTTTTTGGTATTTATGTGGATTGGTATCCATCAAACTCATCATTATTTGGTTTGGGTTTTTATACCTGTAGTTCATGGTCATTCATTCATTCCTTCCTTCATTCGTTCATTCATTTACCAAGGGGAAAGAGCGTGGAGGGCACTCCACGGCTCGAAACAGGCAGCAAAGCTGTTCATCCTTTTTGGAGAAAGGTCAAGTGGCCTAGGAGGTTTCTTGCCTGTCCCCTTTTCTACTGCACCTATCTCTTTTTTCCTGTTGTATATGTCAGGTGTGAATGTGTAGATACCAGTACTGCTGAGAAGGAAAAGCAGTCAAAGACAGCAGAAGGCCCCACCAGGGTTTCATTTGGTCCCACCACTAACTGACAAGCAGGCCACTGGGTTGGGGGGGAGGGGGATCATCTGAAATCAAGGAGGAAGGGAGTTTCATTTCCGTAACTATATTTGCAAATTTGGAAGTATGTCCTATAACCCAACAAGTGGACAACATGTTAAGGCTGGCAACACAGGACTTGGAGACGCACGCATGAGTTTACATGTGCTGACACGTCCCTGCATCTTTGGAATGTGGACGTTAAATCCTGTTTCTTATTTGGATTTTCACTAAAAATAGTATTTTGTGGTCCTGGGGTTACATAGGGCTCTTGTGCTTGTCACACAAGTTCCCTCATAATGAGGAACATTCTAAGGCTTCCTGAGAATCATAATTTTGAAGATCTAAATCTTCTCCATATTCTGCTGGAGAAAATTGTGTGTTTTTTTGTTTGCACTTAACTGTCAAAGTTAGAGAAACACCTTTGAATTATTGGTTCATGTTATTATGACCTTGGGGGCCACAAGGAAAATGTGAAATCTGATGAAAGATTTTTTTTTGCTACTTTTCATTTTCATTTATTCTATTTATTATCTTTATGTTTTCAAACAGGGTGTCATATAACCAGGTTATCCTTAAACTTCTGATTAACCTGCCTCTGCTGAATTACAGGTGTCTGTGACACTATGCCTGACTTGATTTTCTATTTTTATTTCAGTTTTTCTTTCGTCCTCTTTCTTTCTTTCTTTCTTTCTTTCTTTCTTTCTTTCTTTCTTTCTTTCTTCCTTTCTTTTTCAGTAAGAGGACAGGCTTTAAGGAACCAACACATGTTGCCACAATCTGTAGATGTTACTAGAAGGTCTTAGTGTTCCACAGTGCATTACAATGGTCTTGATGGGGCCTCTTGGTTCTGCCCTGGGCAGGGGCACAGGGGAATGGATGGTAAGGAAGCGTCCTGGTAGAACACAGTGGTGTGGGCTGCCTCACCCTGAGCATGAGTGTCACAGTGCATCGCCAAAACTGATACTGTGGGTGTGGGGACAACTTAAGGTCAACAGCCTGGGTCACGAGCCAGAAACGGAACTTAGAAAACAGAGCTTTATGGCTTTGAGCCTGAAAAAGAGTTTTGTTGGGCTCTTATTTCAGGGGTCTGGTTGCTAAGTGAGAAGTCGTCCAGTGCCACCCAAAGCAGACAGTCAAGACAGGTTGGGTGGTGTGTGTGTGTGTGTGTGTGTGTGTGTGTGTGTGTGTGTGTGTGTTCCCAAATGGCTATATACAACCTGTTCAGTTCATATACTACCTGTTTTTTGTATTTCTATATTTGTCCATTTATATGTATAAGTAACAACAATAATTAAAGATCATATATTACTTGTATGTATATATTTTTCAGGGCTGACCATTCGGTATGGGGTAACCAATTGGTCTGTTCTTCCCTGGGGGAATAAACAATCAAATAAATAAAAATAAACAATAATAGCAGAAAAAAAAATGAAGATGGGCTGGGTGCAAATCCAGGACAAACTAATTTACTGCTTGTGTGATCTTGGAAAAAAGATCCATCATTTGAAGAAATCAGATTCCGTCTTGAGGATTAAGTAGCTTGATATATGCAAAACAGTTTAAGGGTGGTTATTGTTTCTCGTTCTCATTCTCATTCTCATTTTTAATTCTCTTTCTTAGAGAATGTCATTTCCTTGGGGCTGTGGACTTATATGGAACAGTTAAGTTTGGTTTTATTTGTTTTAAATTTAACTTAATTTTATGTATGTTGTGTCTAGCCTGAAGGTGTCTCTGTGTGCCGCATACGTGAAGTGCCTGCAGAAGCCAGGAGAGAGCATCGGATCGCCCAGAACTGGAGTTACAGACAGTTGTGAGTTGCCATGTGGGTGCTGAGAATCAAACGCAGGTCCTCTGGAAGAGCAGCCAGTGCTCTTAACCACTGAGCCATTTCTCCAGCCCCAAGCAGTTGGATTTGAAGCAGGAATTTATGATTAGGACAAGAAACACCAGGGAGCGCCATTTACTGCAATGTTTCCTTACAAAGTACATCTGGGATTCTGCCAGTAAATAGAAAATTGGCCAGTGCTATCTCTATCTGCCACCCACAATATCTCTTACCGAGCTCTTTGACCTTACAGACAGATTGAGAGCTTTTATTCATTCACACAGCCTTTCAGTTAGAGCTGTGACGCATAGGTCACACACCTTTGGATTGAGGAGGCGCAAATAGTTTTAGCTTTTTACAACAGGACATTGAATTGTTACAGAAGCCAACCCATAACCATCCTGGCTTACAACCAAAGAAACAAGAACCTTGAAGTGCAGTACATGGTCGAAACTCCACACCGTTATTCCCGATCATACAGTTACCTGAAGGAACAGAGAAAGGACAAATAAGTCTTCAGGAGGCCAGGGACAAACCTGGTCTTGTTTTCTCTTGCTGACGGAGAGTTTGGTGTCTGTTGTTTCCCCTTTTGGGATCCACCTTTTTACTTCCCATCATATTTCAGTAAGACTGTGGAGTCTAGGTCTATGAAGAGGAATTTAAGCTGGGCATGTTGGTGCATGCCTTTAACCCCAGCACTCCAGAGGCTGAGGAAGGTGGATTTCTAGTAGTTCAAAGTCAGCCTGGTCTACGTAGCTAGTTCCAGGACAGCCAGGGCTACACAGAGAGATTCTGAGCTAAAAACAAAACAAAACAACAACAAAAAGCCAGATGCAGTGGCGCACACCTGTAATCCCAGTACTCAAGGAGGCAGAGGCAGGTGGGTCTCCGTGAGTTCAAGACCAGCCTAGTCTATAAAGCTAGTCCAGAGCAGCCAAGTCTACACAGAGGAACCCTGTCTCAACAAACCAATAATAACAATAACAATAGTAATAACAATAGCAATAATAATAGCAATAACAATAACAACAGTAGGAATTTGGTGGCTGAGTAGGAATGTATGAATCATGAAATGGGTTCCCATTTTTAAGATACTGGAGGTCTTCAGGAAGTAGTGAAAGATGGCTGGTATGGAGAAAAACACTCCTTACCCACATCCTAGCCTTAACCCGATGTCCTATCTCCTGTGGATGGAACTTCCCATGTTGGGCTTATTTATACCCATAGGCCTGCCTGCCTGCCTGCCTGTCCGTCTGTTCATCTGTCCGTCTGTCCATCCACCCACCCACCCATCTATCTATCTATCTATCTATCTATCTATCTATCTATCTATCTATCTAAAATTTTAGGACCCAAGCCTTCAGGAGACCTTTTTATACTCAGACCCACCGTCCACATCTTACCGGCAGGCACTGAGATCACCAGGAACAGCAGTAAACCTGGAAGCTGCAGACGCATGGCTCCAGACGGTTGGAGCCAGAACTGCTCTGACAGCTGCCTGGGAGTTCAGTTTATAGAGATGCTCCAGGCTCGATGCTGGTTCACTCTTCCAGGGAGATCACAGCTTCTATAGAGGTCAGAGGAAGAGGAGAGGAGACAGCCCGTGCCATTTAGCACCACCTTCATTTCTTCGAAGCACATGACATGAAGGTACTCAGCAAAGGGCAGAGTGTCCTCACCAGCAGAGCAGGACACCCCATGCCAGGCCTAAGCACTTTCCCTCTCACCTCTTGAAAATTCAAGAGGAAATGGCTACATTATTTACCTTCAGGTCGTATGGAAAGCCCGGGGTTTTGGAAACACTCTTACGAAGCACAGGCAACTCAAGACTGCGTAGGACTTGAGTAAGGGGTGTCCACAGAGTTCTGAGAAGCAAAGAGGTCTTAGCGTGCCAACAGGGCTTGACTAAGAGGAGAGGGTTTTCTCAGAGGGTGGAGAAGGGAAATGTCCTCTCTTGTTATCACATTTACCCACCTGGCCAGGGACTGTTGTAGCAATGTCTCCAGAGACTGTAGAAATGTTCCTTTCCCAGATGCTTGGCTTGAGATACCAATCAGGGTGTGAGGACCTCAGGGGTCAGAGAGAAGCTTCTATTTTGGAGTGGTTGGGTTGGAATTCATTCTGTTTTCTCACAGAAGGGCCAGTTCTGTGCTACGTTCAAGGTTGGCTGCCTGGATCTAGGGATCTAACTGCATAGTACTTCCCTGGAGCTAACGATGTGGTCATTGGAAAGAGCCATTAGGCCTGCATTGCTTGGGGGCAGTGATGGATGACTGATGCTTTGACCTTATTCTGCCCTTTGAGGTGGGCTTGTTGCCAAGTGGCCTACACACTGCAGTCTGTAAGATGGGAACAGAGTGTAGTTTTATTGGTTACACTCTACTTTGAAAGCACACTCTCTTGAAGGCTTTATTGAGTATATTAACTCCAGCTTCATTTTCTCCAAAACCATATGCATTATGGGAAATTCTTTTTTTTTTTTTTTTTTTTTTGAAGACACAAGGCTAAAATAAAAAGTCTTCATGCTGGTATACTTTATTTTAGAAATACTATCAGTGTGTGTGTGTGTGTGTGTGTGTGTGTGTGTTCAGCATGCATGATGAAGTCAAAGAACAACTTTGTGGAGCCTGTCTCCTTCTACCTTTATGTGAGTTCTGGGGATGGGACTTCAGGTGTGATGTTGCACTGTTAGTACTTCACTGGCTCAGCCATCTTGCTGGTCTTTACGCTGGTATACACCAAGTACTCATTATTATTATTAAATTCCATGATAGTAGCTATCTTCCTTTCTCTTTGGAAAACCTCCAAATGCCTTGGTGTAGGCAAAAATCCTGCTGAGAGACTTTTAGTCTGGTCTCCACTGATGTTTCTAGAGCCAGGGGTGCTACTGTGGATTAAACTTGGAGTGAGGCCATGATAGTGGGTTCCACACTGAGGTGTGTCGGTGGCCAGTGGCGAGACGTCTTCTCAAGGAAGGATTCTTTGCTAATGAGTTGTCCCAGCGCATCCTGCGTTGGACACTTACCGTCTCACAGAGCTTCAGTCTCATCTCAAACATCTGCTCTCATAAATAGGGGAAAGAGGCCTGGTCATTTCTTTTAGAGATGGAAAATCAAGGCTCACAGGGGTAGGAAGGGCATGGGGAAAGCAAGCGCTGCCAGAGTGTGTTCTGTATGTGGTATTTTGACTTGTTGGTCTGACAAACCTAAAGTACTGTTTTGAACAGATATTCATACACCAGACCACTTCCCCAAGAGTGATGGATATCAGTGTAACAGAAGGAAAAGATGCAGGGCGTCACTAATTACCCAGAAATACAAGCAAAAACTGGGATTAAGTGTCTAGCTTCAGTAAGAATGGCTACCATAGAAAGATTAAAGATAACAAGTGTTGGGGAGGGTATGGAAAAAGTGAACATTTTTGCACTACTGGTTGGGCTGTAAATTAGTAGAACGACTATGGGCAATAGGATGGAGGGTCTCCCAGAAATTAAAAGAGAACTATCTCATGATCCAGAAATGCCACCATTAGTGGGGATTTATTTAAAAAAAAAATGAAATCAGTATGTCAAAGACACACCCTAATTTCCACATTGATTATAAAAACTCTTTGTAATATGCAATACATTGAAACGACCTATAAGTCTGTCAACTGATGACTGGACAAAGAAAATTGGTTGCTTATATTTAATATTAATCACCCCATATCAAAGGAACCGGAATCATGTAAAGTGAAATAAAAAAGAGGACTGCCACAAGATCTCACTCACACAAGGTTTTGAATCCAAAATATTGACTTTACACAAGCTGAGAGGTGGTCACCTGACGAGGGAGGGCAGGCAGCGAGGGCTGCAGGGCATCTGTCACTGAGTAATGGCCACAGCTGGATAGAAGCAAGAAGTTCTGGTGTGCTATTGCACGCCAGGTTGACTACCGATAACAACACTGTACATTCAAAAAAAAAAAAAAGCTGTGAGAAGAGTTTTTAAATTGTCACCAGCTAGGCATAATGGTTCATGTCTAAAGTCCCAGCATTCAGGCAATGGAGGAAAGAGTATCGTATCAAGAATTCAAGGCCAGCCTCGGTGACTTCAAGAAAATTGAAACAAAGGTTTGTTTTGTTTTTAAACCAAAAGAGAGATAATAAATGTTTGCAAATGTGAATAAATAATCTGACTTAAACATTGTACAATGTCTGTGTGTCCCCTTTTAATGTGCAAGAGTTTAGTTCATTTTGGAGGGACCTGGTTTTACAATGTAGCCTAGATTTGGCCTTGAACACCCAGTTCTTCTGCCTCAGTCTTTTTGGTGCTAGGATTATAGGTATTCACTACCACGTGTGGAAATTTTTATGGGTTTATCAGCTAAACAAAGACTGTGAACTTCCCAGACTAGCCGCCTCCTAGAACAGAGTTTCTCAACCTGTGGGTCACCTAAGAGCACTGCAAAACTACAGATATTTACATTAAGAGTCACAACAGTAACACTATTACAGTTGTGAAGTAGCAACAAAAATAATTTTATGGTTGGGGTCACCACAACATGAGGAACTGTATTAAAGGGCTGCAGCATTAGGGAGGTTGAGAACCGCTGTCCTGGAGGATCTTTTTTGACACACACCGCTCAATCCTTTGAGAATCCTGGGGGATGTGAGGGGACATAGGTGTCCCCATGTCTCTGTGGGACTAGTACCCATCCCTATTCGTGGGACACACACACATGTCAGAAGGTAGGTTAGTCATGTAAGTTGCTAGTGCAGCCTTTCCTCTAGCCATGAGGAAACTCAGAATATGTCCTGCCTCTTGAGGCCTCACCCAGAACACTCAGTTCCCTAGCTATGTTCCTGTAGATCTCTGTGTTAAGATAAGCCTTGGAATTGTGCAGCAGCTGAGGCTGCAGGCACAAGATCTTTACAAGATGAAGCCGGTCAAAATTCCAGCATGGAGGGAATAAGGACTCACAGAGCTCCACCTCTGCCGGGACTCAGTTTCTTGGGGGGAGGTGACCCCTGGCAGGTTGTCCATGCTCTAATGGATGGTCCTCTATCTATGCACATTCTAGCAGCACTAAATGAACTCAATAGGTTAAAAAAGAAAGTACCTGAAGTTAGAAGAGAGACCCAGAGTTGGAGCGGATGGAGTAAGGGGTGCATTTGACCAAGTGCCGAACAAGCATGACATTCTCAAAGAACAGATAAAAAAGTATTTGAAAGAGAAGACTTGGCATTACAGCTAAGAGTACAATTTCAGGATTCTTGAGAACCTATGATCACTGAGAGGTGACTTCAGACTAACCCCAAGGCCAAGCTAAAGAATTTGGTGGCTACACAGAACATTATTCAGACCCAAGGCAAATATATTAACATAGCTAACTAATTAAGTACATTTCTGTGCCTGGGAAAGTTCAGTAAAGGCTGTACGATCTGGTTGTCCCAAGTGGTCAGAAAACACACCTGCCTGAAGGGATTGTGTAACCAGGTGGAACTGTTATTGCCTTTGATAAGAAAGCCCCTGGTACTTGCTTTCAAGGCTTCATGCCCTCATGCCTGGGATAGCTTCCCAGAAGTCCCCAGGACTCACTGCTGCTTTTTTTTTTTTTTTTTTTTTTTTTTTTGGCTCCCATCAATCACCCACAGCCCATGAGTCTTCCCATGGCCATTTTAACATCTCCCCTGTCCTCAGAGTTCACAGCGCAGGTGTCGCCAGCAAGGCTCTGCATGGAGACAGGCATTTCCACAGTGCTGGATGTGGTTAGCCTTATGTATACGTCTGAATGGACCGTTGGCTCATTCTTCCCCTTTGACTCTGTTTCTGCACAGAGTCTGATGCAGAAAAACTTAAAGGGATAAAGTTAGTGAGGAGGAAAAGCCAGTGGAGCAGATGAAAGAGGATGTTCCAGCCAGTGGGAGGAGATTTGGTTCAGTTCAGTATCTGGGCCACTCTACAGTGAGTTGCCTGTTATTTCCAGAGATGTAGAGAAAATCCCTTTACAGTAACATGACAAGAGGCGGCTATAATTTCATTTTATTTATTTGTGCATATGTGTGCGTGTGCATGCCCATGTGCATGCCCGTGGAAATTAGTTCACCTTTGTGCCACAAGGTCACGGGGAGATATTGAACAATTTTCAAAAGTTGTTTCTTTCCTTCCAGCGATGTGGGTTCTTGGGATCAAACTCAGGTCACCAGGCCTGACTAACAAGCACCTTTATCCACGGAGCCGTCTTGCTGTTCCCAAGGCTATAATTTTAATGTAGTCAGATAAGACCTATGAGTGTCTGGGGATGGACTACCATAGGACAACATATTATGCATAAGAAGAAGCGTGGAAGGATTTCTGAAGGTGATTATACCTGGGGTAAAAATCTTTAAGAGTGAGTAGGAGGGAATTTTCTAGAAAGTCCAGGAAAGGTTGATCCCAAGTATACCCGATAGGTCCACCTGAACAGAGCACGAGAGGATGAGGTGTGGACATGTTTATTTGCCACAGAATATGGGCTACTGTTATGGGCAAGGCTTGCGAGGCCGATACAGGCAAGTGTAGAGGGCCACCTCGAAATTTCCACGGATGCAGTCAGAGGTCATTGTGGCTTCACCACAATATTAATAAAATAAACACACAGAATGTCTGCCGTGGCGTGTAGGTCCCCTTGCCCCTGGAGATCTCACACAGGCGGGCCTGGCGTCTGGGTCAGCGGACGTGCAGCCTTGGTGCTGATCCAGAGCCCAGGTCTGTAAAAAATAGCCTCCTGAAATGAATCCTCGGGGTCAGTTTGGATCCTCGGGTCTACAGAGGACCCGCAGGGTGGGTGGGCTGCAGGGACTGGCAGGCCCACAGCCTTCCGCCAGAGCTCAGGGTTAATAAGAGAAGACAGCAAATCCAACCGCTGACTTCAAAGATCGAATCAAAGCTGGGGGTAATGGCATAAGCCTTTAATCCCAGATCCTGGTCCACACTGAGAGTTCCAGGATAGCCAGGGCTACACAAAGAAAGCCTATCTTGAAAAACAAACAAACAAACAAACAAACAAACAAACAATTTTTAAAAAAAGGAAAGAAAGAAAAAAAAGTATTTAAGTGCAAATTTCCAGAGTTCTACAAAATCTAACCCGGCTTTCATCTCCACACACCAGCGGCTGTAGTCATGTGGTCCTACTCTGTGTTCATACCCTGTCACAGTAGGCAGCTACTATCACATTGCTCTCCTTTCCTCTGACTAAGATTTAAGTAAGTTGCTGCGTCATCAGGAGTGCTGACTCTATTTCTCAAGCATTTCACGAAGTAGAATGGTGTCAGGATTATTATAACTTTTGACGGATGGTTTAAGAGATGCTGGTGGCGGAGACGTGAACTCGAAGACGGGTAAGCGTGTCGGTGGGAAGGAGTCTCAAGTGTTCCACGTCGCATGTTCACCTCAGAGCACAGGGGCGAAGGAAGGAGGGAGACGGCCACAGGAAGGCAGCAGCAACTGCGGAGGAGCCCCATTCTCCCTGGAGATGCTTTATGTCTTGATCTCCACAGCTATTGAAGACTACATTTTTTTTTTCTAATGTATAAATAACCAAAATACTGGTTGCTAGGAGGCTGGAGATGGCTCAGCAGTTAGGAGCACTGGCTGCTCTTCCAGAGGACCCAGGATCAATTCCCAGCACCTGCGTGATGGCTTACAACCGTCTGTGACTCCAGTTCCAAGGGAACCGACCGACACTCTCACACAGGCATACATGCGATGCAGGCAAAAGATCAATGCACATAAAATAACAATAAATAAATCATTAAAAATATTGTTCCACTCTGAAAATCAATCTGGCGCTTTCTTAGACAACTAGGAATAGCACTTCCTCAAGATCCAGGCATATCACTCCTAGGCATATATACAAAAGAGGCTCAAGTACGCAATAAGGACATTTGCTCAACCATGTTTGTAGCAGCTTTATTTGTAATAGCCAGAAGCTGGAAACAGCCCAGATTCCCCTCAGCTGAAGAATAGATGCAGAAATTGTGGTACATCTACACAATGGAATATTACTCAGCAATGAAAAATAAGGAAATAATGAAATTTGCAGGTAAATGGTGGGACCTGGAAAGGATCATCCTGAGTGAGCTGTCCCAGAAGCAGAAAAAAAACACATGATATATACTCACTCATATAGACATGTAATATAGGATAAACCTACTAAAAACTGTACATCTAAAGATACTAATCAAGAGAGAGGACCCTGACTAAAATGCACAATCCCCATCCTGAAAGGCAAAGAGGAAGGACATCAGAAGAAGAAGAAAACAGGAAACAAGCTAGAAACCTGCCATGGAGGGCCTCTGAAAGGCTCTGCCCTGCAGACTATCAAAACAGATGCTGAGACTTATGGCCAACTGTTGGGCAATGTGCATGGAATCTTATGTAAGAAGTATGAAATAGTAAGATCTGGAGTGGACAAGAACTCCACAAGGAGAGCAACAGAACCAGAAATTTGAACACAGGGGTCTTCCCAGAGACTCATGCTCCAACCAAGTACCAGGCATGGAGATAACCTAGAACCCCTGCACAGATGTAGCCCATGGCAGTTTAGTGTCCAAGTGGGTTACATAGTAATGGGAAGAGGGACTGCCTCTGACATAATCTGATTGGCCTGCTCTTTGATCACCTCCCCCTGAGGGGGGAGCAGCCTTACCAGGCCATAGAGGAAGACAATGCAGCCACTCCTGATGAGATCTGATAGACTAAGATCAGAGGGAAGGAGAGGAGGACCTCCCCTATCAGTGGACTTGGGGAGGGGCATGAGTGAAGAAGGGGGAAGGAGGGTGCAACCTGGAGGGGAGGAGGGAGGGACTTATGGGGGGATACAAAGTGAATAAATTGTAATTAATAAAAATAAAAATAAAAAAATATTCTTTCCAAAAAAAAAATATTGGTTGTTGACTGTCATCGACTAACAACAGCAGCTATCATTCTTGTATGCTAACTCTATCCTAAATGATCTGGTAAGTTCCTTACAGCTATATTAATTCTAAAATCTTTTGCGTATGTGTGTGTGTGTGTGTGTGTGTGTGTGTGTGTGTGTGTAAGGAGTGTGGATATAGGTGTACGCTTACCACAGTGTATGTTGGGAGGCAGGATAGCTTTTGTTTTCCCACTGTGCTGTGTACTACAGGGTAGCTGGCCTCTGAGGATCTAGAGAATTGTCCTCTCTCTGCTGGAATTAGAGATAAAGCCACAACACCTGGCTCTTGTATAGGCTCTGAGTTCTGAGGATCCAAACTCAGATCATCCGGTTTGCACATTGAGAGCTTCTACCCACTAATCCATCTCCGTAGTCTCAGTTAGATAAATTATCTCATTTAATAATCACCACAACCACAGGATGTCACTATAACCTCACTTTACTATTGTTTTCATGCAAATGGATTATTCAAAATAATGTAGTAGATAGCAGAAAGGGGAGGAGGGGAAGATTTTACTTCCCCCTTTCATGACAACTAGAATTTAAATTACTATAATAAGTGAAGCAAAGTGAAGCAAAACAAACAAACGAAAAACCCCAAACATCATGACTGAAAATGACAAAACAGAACTAAAACTCTATTGAGCATCTTTCCACTGGCCCAACCTTAGCTCAGTCAACTTTCTCAGTGAACCAGAAGTCAGAAATGAACAAAATTAAATCCCAAATAACATTTTTGTGTCTACTATTCTTCTATGCACAGCACTCAAATTTAAAAATATTTTCTTTTCATTGTTTGTGTGAGTGAGTGTGGACACACACACACCATGGCCTGTCTGTGGAGGTCAGAGGACAACTGGTGAAAGTCAGTTTTTTCTTTCCATCACGGGACCCAAATTCAAAGTCAAGTTCTCAGCCTGCATGGCAAGCACTCTTGCCCACCTGGGCCATCTTGCAACCCCACAGACAACATTTAGAATGCAACAGACAGTTGTGATTTATGAGGTAGTAGAAAATGAAAAGAATAACACAACAACAATAAGGAAAAAACCATGGCTGACACATATTCACTTTGTAAATTTTATTTAGTCTTTACTAGATTCAAATGATTCCATTATAACATTTTCATACATACACATTTATACTAGTCTCTACCCCCAAAGAGAAGGCTTTTTAAGAACTATTATAACTATTAACACATGTGTTTGTTATATTTTTTGGTCGTCTTTACAGAAGTTAGAGTCATCCAAGAAGAGAAAACCTCAACTGAGAAAATGTTCCCATAAGATTGACCTATGGGACATTTTATTGATTGGTGGTTGATGTGGAAGGGCCTAGCCTACTGTGAGAGGTAATTTCCCTGGGTACATGGTCCTACTGTATATAAAAAAGCAAACTAAACAAGCCATGGAGAGCAAACCAGTAAGGAGCTTTTCTTTACCGTCTGAGCTCTTGCCTCCAGCTGCCCGCCTTAGTGCTCTTCAATGGTAGACTATTATAGAGATGTATAAGCCAATAATAATAATAATAATAATAATAATAATAATAATAATAATAATAAT